CTAGACCGGAACTCCCCAAATGTAGGCGTCGGTAACCCCTTCATCATGACATCGGCAAACTGCTGAGCGGTGGGAACATGAAGAACGCGGGCGCGCCCAAGAGCCACCTGCTCTTGCATGAAGTGAATATCGAGCTCAATGTGCATCCTGCGACGATGATGAACGGGGTTGGCGGAGAGGTAGACCGCAGAGACATTGTCACAGTAGACAATGGTGACCTTCGGGACATCAAGAAGCAACTCCTAGAGAAGCTGTCGGAGCCACGAGCACTCGGCGACGGCATTGGCCACAACATGATACTCAGCCTCGGCACTGGAGCGGGATACCGTGGGTTGTCGTTTAGACGACCACGATATGAGCGAGGGCTACAGGTAGACGCAAATAGCCTGAAGTCGAGCGGCGTGTGTCCGGGCAGGCAGCCCAATCGGCGTCACTGTAAGCGACCAGGTCAGTCGAGGGCGAGGCCGTCAACGTAAGACCAAGAGCCGTGGTGCCGCAGATGTACCGAAGAATCCGCTTCACCGGGTTCCAGTGAGTGTCGCGAGGGGCGTGCATGTGGAGACACACATGCTGGACGGCTGCAGGTCCGGCCGAGTGAGTGTCAAGTATTGGAGAGCGCCGACGATGGAGCGGTAGAACGTTGCATCTGGCGCGGGTGAGCCGTCGAGCGCAGAGACCTTGGCCTTCGTGTCGATAGGCGTGGGGACAGGCTTGCAGTTAAGCATGCCTGCCCGCTCTAGAAGGTCCTGTGCATACTGCTGCTAGTGAAGAAAGAACCCATCGGCGCGTCGTACCACCTCAATGCCGAGGAAGTAGTGCAACGAGCCGAGGTCCTTAATGGCGAACTCAGCGCTGAGGCGACCAGTATGATGGCGAAGGAGCTCGGGCGAGGAAGCCGTCAGGATGATGTCGTCGACATATAGGAGCAGGTAAGCGGTCGCCGGAGCCTGGTAGTAGACAAACAGCGAGGCGTCGGAGCGAGTAGCCCGGAACCCGAGCTGCTGCAGAAAACCGGCGATCCGCCGGTACCAGGCGCGAGGGGCTTGCTTCAACCCGTACAAAGAGCGATAGAGTAGGCACACATGGTCAGGCTCAGCCGCGTCGACGAAGTCGGTCGACTGCTGACAGAAAACCTGCTCCGAGAGATGGCCATGCAAGAACGACCACGCGAATCGTGCCTGGTTTGACAACCGGGGCGAATGTGTCGGTGAAGTCGACTCCAACGCGCTACCGAAACCCGTGGACCACCCACCGAGCCTTATAGCGCTCGAGAGACCCGTCAGGGCGAGTCTTATGCCGGAAGACCCACTTGCCAGAGATGACATTGGCATGGGGTGGCCTCGGGACAAGCTGCCAGGTGCGGTTGCGCACCAGCGCGTCGAACTCCTCCTGCATCGCCGCGAGCCAATGCAGATCGCGATGTGCAGCTCGAGCGGACGACGGGAGAGGTGACGGCGCAGACGTCGAGGCAGCAAGGAGGTACTCATACGCAGAATAACGCGTGTTGGGCCGGTGAATACCGGCGCGAGCACGAGTGACCATGCGGGTGTCCGGGGCGGTCGGCGGGGTCGACGGCGCAGCCGATGAGGTGAACGAGGCCGGCGACGAGGCAGGCGAAGAAGCCGTCAAGGAGCCAGGGTCAGGCGCGGGGGATGCGCTCGCTGACCGGGCTACGGACTCAACGGGAGTTGGGGGCAGCGTGGCCGCCGGCAAGGAGGCAGCCGGGCCGGCGGAAGCCGTCGAGGAGCCCAGGTCAGGCACATGGGATGCGCTCGCTGACCGGGCTACGGACTCAACGGGAGTCGGAGGTGCCATGGCCGCCGGCAGGGGGGCGGGTCCGACACCGCGGACCCAGAGCGAGGCCCAGGCGTGGCGGGGGAGCCGAAGCCAGGGGAGGCCCACGCGCTGCAGGGGGCCTGAAGCCGGGAGGGGCCCCAAGCGCAAGTGAGCGGCCTCCCCTAGGGGCACCGATAGGCACGGGTGACGATGGCGAGTCGGCCGGTGGCGGTACCTGGTGAAAGGGAAAAGACCTCTCGTCAAAGTAAACGTGTCGTGAAGTGAAAACTCGGTGGGAAACCGGATCATAGCAACGATAACCTTTGGTGTTTGGTGGGTATCCGAGAAAGATGCATGCCACAGAGCGAGGTGCCGAGTTTATGAGGAGTAGTGGAGGCGATGCTAGGATAATAGACACCCAAAAACACAAAGATCATCATAGGAAGGTGGGCTACCAAAGAGGAGATGATGTGGTGCAAAGTTCCCACGAGCACGACTCGAACGAATGTTGATGAGGAGAGAGGCGGTGGAGAGAGCGTCCGGCCAAAACCGGGGCGGGACATTAGCGTGGAAGAGAAGAGTGCGCACACAATCATTTAGGGTGCGAAGGATCCGTTCGGCGTGACCATTTTGTTGTGAGGTATACGGGCAGATGAGACGAAAAATCGTGTCGTGTGTGGCAAGGAGAGTGCGAACCCCGACGTTGTCGAACTCCTTCCCCTTGTCAGTCTGCAAGGCATGAATGGGACGCCCAAACTGTGTAGCGACATAGGAGTAAAATGTAGTGAGAACGGAGAGTGCATCGGATTTTCTCCGCAACAGGAAGGTCCACACTTAGTGTGAAAAATCATCAAGTATGACAATATAGTATAAAAAATCTGTATTACTAGCAACAGGAGATGTCCACAAATCACTATGAATCAACTCAAATGGATACGACGCCACTGATGAGGACGCGCTAAACGGAAGATG